AACAAAACTCCTGGGCTGTGTGGGAAAAGGAACAGGTTCCAACTGAATGGTGTGAATCGGGCATTATACCGAAAAAACTCCTGGACTCAGTGTGGGAAAAGGAAGAGGTTCCAACTGAATGGTGTAAATTGGTGATCATACCGATTTAAAAAAGGAAGAGGTGCCAACGGAATGGTGTGAATCGGTGATCATACCGATTTACAAGAAAGATGAATCCTCCTGTGAAAACCACAGAGGAATTAGTTTAATCAATATTGCCTCTAAACTTCTCGCCAGTAACATACTCAATTGTCTGCCGCAAGTGAACGGTGTACGCGTGAGAACTAGGCCGGTTTCAGACCTGGTCGAGGCTGTATTGACCACATCTTCACACTNCACTCCTTTCGTAGACCCACCATTTTCATTTTCCTCGATCTAAAAGCGGCTTTTGACTCAGTCGACCGCTGTGAACTGTGATGCTGCCTTTCCCTGGAGAGAGTGCCCAAAAAGTTTATCACAATATTACAATCCCTCTACAATAATAGCCGAAGTTGAGTTCGAGCTTACGGCACTTTTTCACCCGAGTTCACCACAGAGAGTGGTGTTCGACAAGGTTGCCCTCTTTCTCCTTTTCTTTTTAACTTTGTCATAGATTTAATTCTTGAAACAGCCCTATCCTCGTACAAGGATAGCGGTATCGATTTACTTCCAGGTGGCAGACTGTCTGATCTAGAGTATGCAGACGACTTTGTGCTACTAAGTGAAGATCCAGGTAAGTTGCAAGCTTTTCTGGATAGTTTGAGTGCTAGTGTTGCCATGTTCGGTATGCGTTTTGCACCTTCAAAGTGTAAAATGTTACTACAAGATTGGGTTGATCCAGTACCCAGTCTCACTCTAACTGGGGAAGTAGACAAATTGTGCTATCTAGGCAGCTATATCTCACTCGGTGGACGCATCACAGATGAAGTGTCAGCTAGCATACAGAAGGCTCGGTTGGCATTTGCCAACTTGCCCTGGGTAGCATAGCGTTATCGTGCCCTCGAGCAAATCATGTAATGTGATTTGTTTGGCAAAAATTTCGAACTCAGGCGTATGAAAATATAGTACATTTTTTCTTCGGCTGTCACCTATGGAACTGGGCTCAGTCATAATGAACAACAAAAAATTGCTTCATGGCGGAGAAGAAAGTTTCCATGGGATGGGGTCTGACTGTTTGGGTCCTTGCCCGTTGAGCGAGTGAGTTTTAAACGAACCCGGCAGTCAATCGGATAAAAGGACGAGTCGTGTTAACGCAGATCGGTCCCAATACTCAGGCGTAAATTACGGCATGAGTCTAGATCTTCAATAACCTGGTAAATAACATTGAGGCCGTCGTTCTGTCAAATTTCAGAAATCTGGTCTCAACATTACTGTGAACGTTTGGGATATTCGCAGTACACTCGTTCATGTAGGGAAACGAGTCGAAGACAATAATCGTCAGTGAGTGAGAAGTATCGATGAATATTGTGAAAAGAAAGCATTTTGATGTTTAAACTACAACGGATTTAAACTGCATAATGACATCCATTAACCCACAAGAATTTCTGATGAGAAATGGGTTCGTAGAATGATCTTATATGTGCCTCACTCCTTGGGAGTTCATGTGGAATCGACAAGAGTATATCTTTTTCAGGCAGCCATGAAATCAATGTTCTGGCCATCGCACCGGTAGCTCGGGTGTAAAGGTTCGTAATACCAATCAGCAATTTTACGGTTCGAGTCCCACCAAAGATTCAAAATACTACGTTTTCATCTGATGAAAATAGCTGTCCAGTGATCCTTTTCGGTTCCCTTCGACCAAAGCATTGTATTCACTAGCGAAACATTTTCTCTCGTAAAATTGGGTGGGAATAACAGCGCACCTGAACGAATCTAATTTCGAAATTACTTGCCTTTTTAGAATGTATCCGACAATTCTTTATAATTTCTCAAAAAATCTATTTTAAAAGGTGGGTTAATTAGGTTTAAGGAAAGCCTTACTGATGTCTTTGCGTATCAAGTTTTGGTCCTAGCGCGACTAGACCGTTTCAACGAATAAGCACGATCCCTATTCGAATTCCGACACCCATTGTGCTTCCCACCACCCAGCAGCCCGTGAAATAAAAATATATCCGTTAAACAATGTGTATTTCCTTGGGATCATAAGCGGTTGAAGCCTCTTAACGCGTCACTTCTTGCTCTTCTTTTTCGGCGGATCTGTGAATCCTCGAATCATTCGTTTGGAAATTCCATAGGTATCTACGGAGGAGCGGGAGATTTGTCTTTGTCAGGATTGATTTCGATGAACACATTTATCATCATCAAAACTATCTACCGACGGTTTACAGTCGTGAATAAAAAAACCTCCAGAGGTAACAGATGACGAGAAAGACAAAATAAACAGTACTAACATGCAAAGCCGCATGTAACACCTGTCTTCTGGGATTTCTCATCAGTCATCTGTTTATTAGATTAAATTTGATCTTCATGAGTTCTCCATTTTCACTTTGACAGTGAGTTGAACTAGCCGATTTCCCCTTCAACTCCCCCACCCCCCCTCGCCATCCAAAGGGGCAATCAAGAGACGGGTGAACGGAAGACCCTTGCTGATGTTCGTAACAACTGGACTGAGCAGAGTTCCATTATTGCTATACGAGATATCTCCATATCACTTCGATCGAATGACATTTTAAAGTAATCCCTGTAAGTTCTACAAACAGTGTGTTTTTCGATTGCCCTGGAGAACTTGTTGCATATATCTCCAAAAGGGAAACACATGCAAATGCAAAAGGCTTACCCGCTAGCAATGTAGATAGGGCCACTATATGTGTACCTTGAGCTTGGATTACCACGCTATCTGGGTATTGGGGATCGTCCACTCGCGTGGTTGAACACGCCAGTAAAAGTTGAATTCGTTTGGCGAACGCATCAGGGTCTATACGGAACAAATCCAGATTGGCAATGCGCGTCTGCAAAAAATGCAAGAAAGACTTCAATGACTAATTCCAATTTCTGAACGTAGAGAAAAAGGAGCATGCAAACAGTTAGTCACGACTTTTTTCGGAAGTAAAACTTCTCTCCTAATTCACGTGATATGTCATTAAGTAGTTACATCTCATAATCCGTTTAGCATTTCAGTCACACGCGTTACGATAGAGAAAATTGATATTGCTGGTAAATTATTCAATTGTCTCAATATTAAATTTCTTGATTCGGTATTCACTGCCCTACACTTGAAAAGCTTCAGCGCTTGTTTCTTGGCACATGATTAAGAAAAGGAATCTCCTCCCAATGCATACACGAAATAAAAATTATTTCATACTGCATCGGTCGTCGTGCAGGATAATCAGGGCCACGCTGCC